ATTTGATCGCTGTATGGGGAGAAGAATCCATGCAGGCAGAACTCCGTTCCAAAAGATGAAATGCCAATATATTTGCCAAAATCTCCAAGGACATGATGGACAGAGGCTACAACAGGGACACACAGCAGTGCCGCATGAAAGTTAAGGAGCTGAGGAAAGCCTACCAAAAAACAAAGGACGCAAATGGTTGCTCCGGGTCAGAGCCCCAGACCTGCCGCTTCTATGATGAGCTGCATGCAATTCTAGGGAGGGCCCCTACCACTACCCCACCACTGTCTGTGGACACCTGCAACGGGGGAGTCTCAAGAAACAGGGATGAGGAAGAGGAGGAGGAGGAGGTTGAGGATAGCGCACAGCAGGCAAGCGGAAATCCCTTCTCCCTAGCAGCCAGGAATGTTCATCACCCTGGAGCCAATACCCTCCCAAGGCGGGCTCCTGGATCATGAAGCCGGAGAAGGCACCTCTGGTGAATGTACCTTTATAAATATAATACAGGGTTTAAAAGCAAGTGTGTTTAATGATTAATTTGCCCTGAAGATTTAGGATGCATTTGCGGCCAGTATAGCTACTGGAAAAATCTCAATGTGTCTGGGGATGGAGCGGAAATCCTCCAGGGACATCTCCATGATGGTCTCCTGAGGTACTCTAAAAGCCTTTGCCACACGGTGGGGGGGGCTCGTTCATGCTGAGCTGTTCACGTTTGGCTGAGAGGGATCTTCCCTGATACTAGCCACGCGGTGGTCGTGGGGGGAGCGTGAAGCACATGTGCTATTAAAATGTGAATCGCTTGATTCAGTGTGAAATAGTCTTCCCTTTGTTCTCTAAAATGTAACTTTTTAAACACTACTCTCCCTTTTTTTCCTCCCGCAGTGGCAAATGTTTCTATGCTCCCCATATCATCTTTGTGCCAGAGGCTAGCGCAGATTAGAAGGCAAAAAAATCCACATTCACGATGACATGTTCTCAGAGCTCATGCAGTCCTCCTGCACTGAAAGAGCTCAGCAGAATGCGTGGAAGCAAACAATGGCAGAGTCCAGGAAAGCGTTAAATGAATGCGATGAGAGGAGGGAGGAGCATGCTGAGAGGATGCAATGCTGAGCATAATGGGGGAGCAAACTGACATGCTCCAGTTTGGTCCCCCAACTGGATGCAATGCTGAGCCTAATGGGGGAGCAAACTGACATGCTCAGGTGTCTGATGGAGCTACAGGAAAGCAGAAGCACAGACCGCCACTGCAGCCCCTGTATAACTGCCTGCCCTCCTCCCCAAGTTCCATATCCTCCTCACCCAGATGCCCAAGAATGCGAGGGGGGGGAGGCTACGGGCACCCAGCCACTCCACCCCAGAGGATTGCCCTAGCAACAAAAGGCTGGCATTCAATAAGTTTTGAACTGTAGTGTGGCCTTGTCCTCCCCTCCTCCACCACTCCACCCAGTGCTTCCCTCCTCACCCATCCAACCTGGGCTACCTTGCAAGTTTTCCTCCTATTTGCGGGATGAATTAATAAAGAATGCATAATTTTGAAACAATGACTTTATTGTCTCTGAAAGCGGTGATCGAAAGGGGGAGGTTGGCTTACCAGGAAGTAGAGTCAACCAAGGGGGCAGGTTTTCATCAAGGAGAAACAAACAGAACTGTCACACCGTAGCCTGGCCAGTCATGAAACTGGTTTTCAAAGCTTCTCTGATGCGCAGGGCGCCCAGCTGTGCTCTTCTAATCCCCCTGATGTCTGGCTGTGTATAATCGGCCTCCAGATGATTTGCCTCAACATTCCACCCCGCCATAAACATCTCCCCCTTACTCTCACAGATATTGTGGAGCACACAGCAAGCAGCAATAACAATGGGAATATTGGTTTTGCTGAGGTCTAACCTAGTCAGTAAACTGCACCAGCGAGCTTTTAAATGTCCAAATGCACATTCTACCACCATTCCACACTTGCTCAGCCTATAGTTGAACTGCTCCAGGGTGCCTGTGTATGGCTTCATGAGCCATGGCATTAAGGGGTAGGCTGGGTTCCCAAGGATAACTATAGGCATTTCAACATCCCCAATGGTAATTTTCTTGTCTGGGAAATAAGTTCCTTCCTGCAGCTGTTCAAACAGACCAGAGTTCCTGAAGATGCGAGCATCGTGCACCTTTCTCGGCCATCGCACGTTGATGTTGGTGAAACATCCGTTGTGATCCACCAGTGCTTGCAGCACCATTGAAAAGTACCCCTTGCGGTTTATCTACTGGCTGTCAAGGTGGTCCGGTCCCAAGATAGGGATATGCATTCCGTCTATCGCCCCACCACAGTTAGGGAACCCCATTGCAGCAAAGCCAGTCACTATGACTTGCACATTTTCCAGAGTCACTACCCTTGATACCAGCAGCTCAGTGACTGTGCTGGCTGCTTGGATCACAGCAGCCCCCACAGTAGATTTACCCACTCCAAATTGATTACCAACTGACTGGTAGCTGTCTGGCGTTGCAAGCTTCCAGAGGGTATCGCCACTCGCTTCTCAACTGTGAGGGCTGCTCTTATCTTGGTATTCTTGTGCTTCAGGGCAGGGGAAAACAAGTCACAAAGTTCCATGAAAGTGCTGTTACACATGCAAAAGTTTCGCAGCCACTGGGAATCATCCCAGACCTGCAACACTATGCGGTCCCACCAGTCTGTGCTTGTTTCCCGGGCCCAGAATTGGCATTCCATGGCATGAACCTGCCCCATTACCACCAAATTGCCAGGGCCCATGCTTTGAGAGAAGTCTGTGTCCATGTCCTCATCGCTATCGTGATTGTGCTGTTGTCGCCTCCTTGCCTGCTTTTGCAGGTTCTGCACCTACTGCAGGATAATGCACACAATGCTCACAACAGCAGTGGTGAGCTGAGCGAGCTCCATGCTTGCCATGGTATGGCGTCTGCAGGAAAGCAGAGTTGCATCGGAAGCGGTGTATGGCTACAGATGCCATGAGAATAGATATTTATACAGAACGATGAGAGGAACTGCGATGTGGATTCATGGCACCAGGAGAGCAGAGTTGCAGCAGAAGTGGTGGCTGACGATGGTTAGCAGACCTACTGCACCATCTGCTGACAGCAGTATGGTGTCTGCATGGAAAAAAGGCGCAAAACGATTGTCTGCCGTTGCTTTCATGGAGGGAAGGGCGATTGACGACATGTACCCAAAACCACCCGCGACAATGTTTTTACCCCATCAGGCATTGGGAGCTCAATCCAGAATTCCAATGGGCAGCGGAGACTGCGGGAACTGTGGGATAGCTATCTACAGTGCAGCGCTCCGAAAGTCGATGCTAGCCACGATACTGTGGACGCACTCTGCTGACTTAATGCGCTTAGTGGGGACACACACAATTGACTGTATAAAATCGCTTCCTAAAAATTGAATTCTATAAATTCGACCTAATTTCATAGTGGAGACATACCCTGAAACTCTACCTCATACACTTCATCTGTCACACCAATATGACCTCTAAGGATGACTTACAGGGAGAGGATACTTAGGCTGATATAATGATCAAGAACAAAAAGTGATGGTAATGTTCTACTAGGGCAACAACAGAATGGGCCACCAACTATGTGGCGCTTTCCTTTAGCAAAATCTGAAACCCAACAGGGTCAATCAGATTCTCTACGCAGACTAAGTAAATAGACCTCTGTTCTTTAGAGAAAAAAGATGAACTCTGTCTTCAGACTAGAGGAAGTGATATCCTGACCATAATGAAGTAAACCCCCCTTTATCTCCATTGAGAGTCCAAAAACACATCACAAGTGTGTGGAACATGATATCATCATGTTTGTCAGCCATCGGCACTTGCAAAACAATAATGAATTTAATAAAATGTGGGTGTGAGAAGTAGTGTGAGCATGGTAGCTCATAAAACAGGATTTTTTCTTAGTTTTCCTTTGAAGTACCCAGTTCCTGCATTTTAAACCTGGCTGATGTTTGGGGAGCCCCTCCAAAAATACTTTTTAGAAGCATCTGATACAGATCAGCAGAAAGATTAGTGTGAAGGGCAAAAAGTCAAAATAGAAGTTTAGTATGAAGAGCTGCACTCTGGAAGATAACTGTAAACTTATTTTAAGTCACAAAACTAAAGCTCTGGATTGAAGGCCTGTGTAAGTACCACACATGAAAATATGTATTAATTTTATAGTGCTCCTTTTATGTTTCACTATTTCTAATGTCCATCAATATAACTTTGCCATTTTTTGATTTTTTCTAACTAGCTAGTAATTAAAACTTGCACAGACAGGAAGAATTTATGAAATACAACAGCAACCTTGGCTGAAAAGGTTCACCTATGAGCCCTAGACGAAGACCACATTGTTTGTACAGAATGTGGCACACAGAACAAAATGACAGTCCCTGCCCCAAGAGGCTTACAACAGTCTAACTCACCTAATTTATATGTATTAGCTATGTATATCAAATTCTCCCATAAAAATTAAATCCTCAGTGGGCAACTCCTATTAGGATGTTTCCAGGCCCCATTAACTGCTATCAGTGGCAATACTTTCGATAATCAAGACAAATAAACGTTTGTACTGAACACAGATGTCAATTATTATGTGGCACTAGACTTCATCAGAATTGGCTGACAATGCCAGGCGACTAAAAGGACTTGGTGTCCTTCAGAACAGTGTAACACATTGTGACAAACCAGATAGTTCTAAACATTTATTTGAAGAAAAAAATCACAAATCAGATGATGTTTCCCATAATAGTATAGGGTTTATTGATTTATACCCAAATTCAGCAAGGAATCTAAGTACATGCCTAACTTCAAACAGCTGTGCAACTACGCCAGTGATTAAAGTTAGCAATGTACTTAAGTACTCTGCAGAAGCAGGGCCTTAATAAACTGTGATTAATTTAAACACCTGTTTTGGCACAGGAAATAAATACGACTTAAAATGTATTAGATATTTTGTATTTCTTAAAATAAACCCACTTGAAAAGCACATATAGTGCTCTACAATCATATTCATAATACCTGGTAGTCCAGGTGAGCCTCTCTCTCCTTTTTCACCTTTTAAGCCTGGTGGGCCATGCAGTCCCCAGGAGCCTGGCTCGCCTTTCATACCTGCCATAAAAATATTGCCAAAAAATGAAATGCATTCTTAGCAAATGAGAGTTATTGCAAAGTATAATTTTCAAATATGGTGCAACAGATACTGTGTTAGTGATGGACAAACCACAAAAGTTCTGGGAAAGGATTCTAAACACAAGGCTGTTTATTCAAACTTAGAGGCTCTTTCCCCCTGTTACGAGCTTCTCCAGCTTTCCCCATAACTGTTTAATAGCCACTGATGCCTTCTCCCTTCCCATGACATTTCAAAAGGACTGCCATTTCCTCTTTGCCTCAAGAACCTGAAATAACCCCTCTGCAAGGCTGTCTCTGTCTTCAGATCTCTCCCCCGCTTGAGTGACCCGGGCCTGCCTGAAGTAAACCCAAGCCAGAGAGAGCCCAAGCTGAGATACCTTCTTGATGTAGTCTTGATATAGAATTGGTCCTGCTTTGAGCAGGCGGTTGGACTAGATGACCTCCTGAGGTTCCTTCCAACCCTGATATTCTAGGATTCCATCCTAAGAGTACTGTAGAGAAAGCACTATCAAAGGGTAGAGGTGTATTTCCAGCAGGCTTAATCACTCTGGCACTTGAATTTCTTATCACAGAGCAATAAATTATGACTTCTGTTGAGGCCACCAAAACTATTTATAATTTATTGCCCATGATAAGTGAGTGTGACTAATGGAAAACAACAACAACAATATTCTTTCAGAGAACATAAAGACTTAGCAAGATTTCCTTACCAGGTGGGGCAGGGGAGTGTGTGGAGGAGGGGGAAGACGTGCACCCAAATCAATTTTGAATTTACATCCTCTTTTCCATGTATTTGCTCCCCACCTCCAGTTTCAAGTGCAGTTCTGCTCTGTCAGTTGACTAGGTAAACATGGCACTCTTCTTACTCAATGGATCTGATACCTGTGGGTGACATTCACTCCCACAAAATTGGACTTTTCAAGCTTGATTCCCCACCACAGTGCCCCTAGTATAGTCATTTACACCTGAGCAAAGTGGGTGTCAAATAACTCCATTCTCATGTGGTTGCATTTTACAGCTACTTTGCCAGGTGTAAATGGCTAAACAGGTGCAAAGTGCAGAGTTCCTATGCTGAGTGACAGGCAGGAGGTACGGTAGGGAAGTTCACTCCTAAAATCCAGGGATATACATGGGGATACACTGCAGTCCTCTCCACGGCCACTCTTCACAGTTCCAGTTTATGAGCTGGAGTGGCCGTTGAAACCCTACACTCCAGTTGTGTAGTGTATTAGTGCCACTGGATTCATATTAACACAGATCCCATGGCCTCTTTTATAATTTACACACATTGCATCTGTATCTAAGGCTGGTGCAGAAACCACCTCTGTGTTGCTTGGCTGCACCAATGCCCTCTTCCCATACACACCCAGAGTAGTGTTTAATGGGGATTGAGGAATCACTGCAGGGGATGGTGAGGAAAATGTATCCCAATGCCTTCCCTTTATGGGAATATTCATCCCCTTGAGACGGTCTGCGGGAAGGGTGGCTCTCAGCCTATGGGGGTTTATATTATGATTTGGACCAATTTTAATGTCTATTGGCCACAATTAATGGACTATTGGCCACAATTAATGGCTATTTTTAGTTACACATATGGTGTGCAAGATTTAAAGATCAGATTAGCAACATAAAATGCCATGGGGGACAAGAGTTGAGGCTGTTTTTGGGAGCCGAGATGGAAGGGATGGGAACTGACTCAGTGGAATGTTTAACAGTTCTCCAAGTACAAGGCCCTGCTCCGCTGCCAAGAGGGAGTAGGGCCAGCAATGTGGCTGGAAGGGGCGTAGGCCCAGAGACTAAAGACTGTTGCATGGTTTCCTGTTCATTGCTGGACTCTACAGGTTTGGCATTCCTACCTCTTCCACTAAGGGGGAGCAATTAAAGGAATCCCCTACCTGTGATGCTTGCAGAGCTTCCTGGCCTAATGTCGCCCTCCCAAGGGCATTTCTGCCAGAGGGTGAGATATGTCCCATTCCCTCCCTGTCAATCTGTCTCCCTTCACCATTGTTTCTCTCCCTGAGGATGTCTACATTGTATAGACACAGCCAAGCTAGCTTTGATTTAGTTAGCTCAAATAATAATAGCCGTGAAGCTGTGGCAGCAACATGTTAGCTGCTCAAGTACGTACCTAGGGTCCCACATGAGATTGTATGACCTGGCCCATGCTGCTGTGGATTCAGGGCTATTGTTATTCAAGCTAGCTAGATCAAAGTTAGCTAAGGTATGGCTACACCTGCTGCAGTCACACTTTGCAGTGTAGACGTACCCTCTGTCACTTTTCTCTCTCTCTGCGCCTTGGAAAATTATCTTCTCTTCAATAGCTCTCACCTCATCCTCCTACAGAGTGAAGGGAAGGGGAGAATTTTTTCTGTCTCCTCAGAAAGGTTCAAACACTCTTTCCCTTGCAAATGAAAGAGGTTTTGGTGGTTTGATCTCTCCTTTTCAAAAATCTCTTCAGGGGTAATTTGCAATGATTCCTGCTCTAAGGAGGGGTTGATCCTGTCTATGATATTTACTTTGGCCCAGATCCACAAAGGGGCTTAGGTGTTGCCACACCTAACTTTTAGGTGCTTAGAAAAGTCACAGGAAAAACACTGTAATCCACAAAGCTTGAGGCCATGTCTACACTGTACATTGCTGCAGCTGCTCCGATACAGCTGTGCTGCTGCAGCGCATCTGGTGAAGACTGTCTCTGCTGACAGGAGAGAGAGCAGCATAAGCTATGTCAGCTGGAGAAGTTCTCCCACTGACACAGTGCTGGGCACACTACCACTTATGTCGGTGTAACTTATGGCGTTTAGGGAGGTGGAATATTCACACCCCTGAGCGACATAAGTTTTGCCGACATAGGCAGTAATGTAGAAATAGCCCGAGCTAGGTGTCTGTGTCCCCAATACACTGAATGGGGAGAGAGAGACACTTCAAACAGCGATCCACAAATCCAGCAGGCTAGGTGGGGAGCTGCTTCAGCTAGCCAGTGGGAAATGCTGACCAGAGGGATATGTGCTGAGACCCTCCCTCTCATGGAGATAGATACACCTTGGTTCAAGTGCCCCCTCTGCCTGTGAGTTCTCTAACCACAAGGCTATGAACTATTCTGATATGGGGTTCCTTCACGCTCTCCTATTGAAGTTGTTCCACTTTAATTAAATAATTAAATATTAATTGGCCCAGAGATAGCATTAGAATGACTAGAGCCCAGTGGTGAGGGCACATACCTGAGAGGTGGCAGGTCTCTGTTCAAATCCCTTCTCACCCTCAGGAAGAGGGTGGGACTTGAACTGGGGGTCTCCCACATCCTGGAAAAGTACTCTGACCCCTGGGCCAAGGGTTATAAGAAAGGTCCTTTCCTCCTCTCCTCCCCCACCCAGCTGTGGGGGAGGAGAAGGAGAAACTCACTTGAGGGGCCTGATCCGGCAGACATGATCAGAGGTTGCCTAGCAGGTTGGGCCCCACATGTAACTTAGGAGACCCAACACCTCTCTTCGGCCAGTATGTGGATCACTCCCAGGCTTAGGTGGGAGATAGGTGCCTAGAGTGAGACACCAGTGGGTATGCCCAGAGGCAAAAAACCTAGATGTCGAGTGAGTTCAGGCACCTATGGGATCTGGTGGCAGCTGAGTGGGAGTTCTGTGGCTCAGAGTGGTGCCTAAAAACAGGATTTAGGTACCTAAATACCTTCAAGGATTGCACCGTTGACGCCCAAGCAATTGGACTGGAGCTCTGATCATAGGCAGGAGCTTCCCACTCTGACTGGCTGACCCAAGGGAATGTTCTGTGCCGTTCAGAGTACACACACAGTCACCTATGAGAGCAGTGGGACCAGCATTCATCACACAGGAGTTGGGGCTCTTCTGGACTGGCTGAATTGGGAATCAACCGATCCAGTTTTCTTCCCATAGGAGTAATTTCAGGCTACCCTTCGAGTTTGCTGTTGAGATGTGTTCCCAGAGCACAGGAGCACTGATTGTGTGACTGCATATTCCATAAAAAGAAAAGGAGTACTTGTGGCACCTTAGAGACTAACCAATTTATTTGAGCATGAGCTTTCGTGAGCCACAGCTCACTTCATCAGATGTGTACCGTGAAAGCTCATGCTCAAATAAATTGGTTAGTCTCTAAGGTGCCACAAGTACTCCTTTTCTTTTTGCGAATACAGACTAACACGGCTGTTCCTCTGAAACCTGCATATTCCATACAGTTCTATAGCCGACTATGACAGAGAACGCAACAATGGGACTGCAGCCTCACCTCACATTGCCACATCTGTGTGTCTTATACCTGGCCAAGAGATACCAGCTCTGAGAGAAAGGATAGTTCAGTCCCATTGCTCTTTCACTCCTTGGCCTCTATGCTGAACACTGCCAACACAGTGCTAATTTGTACCAACAGTTTTGGTAGGTTTTGGGATGTGGACAGTAGTTTAATAAGAATATGATTGAAACCACCAAATCTTTTCTTATAGTGTAGGTCGCCTAATAGCCAAGAGATGTAGTGACCAAAAGTCTCAGCAAACTAGGGTCATATTTGATCCAATACAAGTCTGCAAGAAGTAAAAAAACCCAATAGTTTACCATGAATGTTAGCATCTTGGTTTCCAGGATGAGCAGTGCCAACCTACACATAAAGAAATATATTCAGATTATTATCTATACAAATTAACTTATATTTATACAGCACTTAGCATAAAAGGGCCCTGATTTTGGCTAGAGCTTTTGTGTGTTACCACAGTACATATAATTAATAGCTTAAGCTGTATTAGTCAACTTGCTAATGTCCAAATATTAGCCAGTTAAGACTTACTCAGTATTGTGCGTTCTTCAGCATGCAGCATGCTTTCACAGGGATGTAAAACATGCATTTTTGCAACATCAAACAAATTCTGCTTTCAATTATGCTAGTATAAATCCAGGGTAACTCAATTCAAGTCCCTAGAATTACTCTGGATTTACATCAGTGCAATTGAGAGCAGAATTTGATTTTTAAGATAACAGATTGTGGCTGTAGTGCTTTTCATCAACTATTAACACAAATCAATGGATGTTTATCTGCAGCTTCCACGTGTTGGATCATATTAAAGAAGTTCTGTATTAAAATCACAAATGAGTTTGATTCCCCAGAGTTTAAATTCCAGGGTATTACTAATTAAGAGGTCTCTTGGTTTTTGGTACTGTTTCTCTCCCTCTATGTGTGAAACTTGCAAGCTGCTAATTGTGTTAGTACATTCTAAGACAGAGTCTATTCTCAAAGCAATACTCTAACAACAGAAACAACACCCAGAGACTCCCCACCCTTTTGTTGTATTAACAATTGTGATTAAAATAGAGATAGAGGATGTATGTGGATGGATGCTTGGTGTGGATAATAACTGAATGATCAGGGAGGTGCCAGCCTAAGAATCCAGTGTCCATCGGCTGAAGAAGGCGTCAAGTGGAAATAACCAGAGGACCCCCCCGGAGGGCAGACTGGAATCCACCCAACAGCCTCAAGAATGGGAGAACCAAAGAACAAGATAACATCTTGGAGCCGTCAGGAATGTGCTATCTGCTGATTGATTCAGCAACAGCATGATGAAGCAATTCCCATAGACTGGCATAGGAAGAAATTCCTATAAAAATAGACTCTAAAAAGTGAGAACTTTGGGGTCTGATTCTGCAAACCAACTTCCAGGAGCATCAGATGAGCATCTGACAAGGCCCTGCTCCCTCCTCATGTCCAGGCCACCTGGCCAGTGGCTTGGCATGAGCAACTCTAAGGCTGGTAACTATGATAACAACCTTGCAGAACCTGTGTGTGTGTGTGTCTGTATGAATGAATGTGTGAATAAATATGAGATTGAATGGAATGTTATAACTAGAACTAACTGCTTACTATGATTCTTTCTGTATTCACAATAAATGTGGTATTTTGCCTTTTTCCCTTTAATAAGATCCTGCTGGTTTTTATTTTATTGGTACAACACACGTGCATAACAAGCACTCAAGAGAAAGGAAAGTGTGATTCAAGCATGAGACGGGGAGCCAGGAACTCCCTAATTTTATTCCTGGCTCTGACACTAATTCCTGCTGTGGTCTTGAGTAGGTCACAAACTTATTGCCTGACTGTAAAACAGGGACAAAATAACCTACCTCCTAAAGATATTGAGAGGATTAATTAATGTTGGTACAATGCTGTCAATGGATAAAACATTACATAATGCTAATTATAACTATTAATATGAATTGCACCCTATTCACATATTAAACATCCCACTGTGCAGCTGCTGCATGAAAAGATCCAGTCCTGCAACACTCACTGTTAGGAGTGAACTTCAGTGGGTCTGTTTGCATGAGGAATGCTTGCAGGATTCAGTCCATAGTTCCTTATGAATACTCACTTATACAGATGTGTAGAGCGGAGTATTTGTATGTACAAATTGGGATAGTTTTATGTCATTCACAAATGTAGGGCAAAGCTATCCTGAATATTAAGATGCATGGAGAGGCACTTAGAACCACACATTTCTTTTATCTGGGCAGTCATTAGTGCAATTAAAATATTTTCAGAGCTCTTGTTACCGTTCACTGATTTTTAACCTCTGTGTGAATGAACTATTCTTGCTCTCTAAGTGGGTTTCTGTCATTTTAATGGTTGCACCAAAAATAATTGCAAGGCATTGGTGAGAAAGTTGGCAAATCCATAGAGCTATTCCTAGCAGATCTAGTGACAATAATTTCTTATAAATAAAGTTATTCATAAAATGGAGAATTTATGGATGGATTGAAAGGAGATAAGAATAAAATTCCTAAAACAAGTAGTTAAAGCCTCATAGAAAAATAAAAACATCTTGTGGTCATTATTCTGTGTCTGAGTTCATAAGTAAAGTTAATATGGAAAGATTTATAAAACCAGTAAATATATTTTTCTTTAAAGGCAGGAGAGAGATTATTTCCTTATTTTATTCTTATTGATACTGATTCTCATTGTATTTATACCAGTATAGATCCGCAGTCTCTCCTCCAAAATCAACGTAAGTAAACTGGGGTAAGTGAAATGAGAACTGGACCCACTGTATAGTGTTGAGTTATAATATGATGTACAGTAGCAGATGAATGATGCAGCCCTCCTGCACATCAGGCTGATAGGAAAGCATAATGGCTCTCTAACAATATGTCTATTCTGCAGTTAAACACCTGTATCAACGGACTCGGGCCCATGTCAGCTGACTCGGGCTTGGATTATGGGTCTGTTTAATTGCAGTGTAGGGGGCTCAGGATGGAGCCCAGGCTCTGGAACTCCAGGATGGGGGCGGGTCCCAGAGCCCCAGCGCGAATGTCTACACCTCAATTAAATAGCCCAAGCCCTGTGAGCAGAGTCAGCTGATACAAGTCAGCCACTGGTGTTTAACTGCAGTGTAGAAATATCTTGAGGCACAATCCTTTCCCAAGTCCCACATTGCTCACCTACTCTGCCCAGTGACTATATGCCACAATATGGCCCTTAGGAAAACTCTAGTGTGACTCAGGCCTGTTCACAGTTTATTGCGAGAAGTAATTTCTGTGATTTACTAAATTAAAAGCCCTCTGAGGTCCTCTAAACCTTAGTGCCACATCAGCTCCCCAGACATCCTGGGCGAAATCCCAGCCTCATTGAAGTCGATGGAAGTTTTGCAATTGACTTCAGTGGGTCCAGGATGTCAGTCCTTGAGTTTTATGAGGCAATAACAATCGGTATGTGTGACTCAGGGAACCCCTCAGTGCTGGCTGGCAGAGGGCACACCATAGTGTAACTCACATAAGGCCTGATACACTAATAGCCCCAACTCACTGTTGTCAATCTGATTCTGAAAGGTGTCTGTAGCGGAGTGGTCACCCTGCTCCTGATTGGAAGGGCTTAAAAACAGCCCTAGGAAAGGGCTGCCCTGGGGAGCAAACCATGAGCAGACTTGAGGCAGCCAATCAGGGCCCGGCTGGGCTAGTATAAGAAAGACTAAGGGAGGAGCTGGGTCAGTCTCACTCCAGCCTTGGAATGGGAAGGACCTAGCTGCCTTGGAGCAAAGGGTACCTGGGGCAGAACAGTGCTGGGAAAGGGCAAGAGGAGCTGGGGAGCTTCAGCCTGGCAACTCCCCAGGCTGAAGCCTTGTTAAAGGCTTAAGTAGGTACTGGGGCTGCAGAGGGGAAGCCCGGGGATAGGCAGAGGCAGCTGGTTCAACCCCTTTGCCAGTGATGAGTGGCCATGACAGACTGAAGTCTGCCTCAGAGAAAGGGGGCTAGATGGCAACTGGCAGTAGCCACTGAGGCAAGGTGGGCATAGAGGGTTGGGGGGGTCCCCCGGGAGGGGAGACCCAGAGCGTGGGACTGCTGTGGGGCAGAACCCCAAAATAAGAGGACACTGGGGTCCAGGAGGGACATGGGGCCTGAGGCAGGAGAGACACCGGCCAGAAGGGGGCGCTCCAAGGCTGGAACTGAGCTAATTCCTGGACGATCAGCAGAAGGCGCTGCAGCGGTGAGTGCTTGACCTGCTACTATGTCACCTAAAGGTGTCATATGCAAACTGGTAGCACGCTGGTCGTTAATATTACTTCATGGTGTAAGTACAGGCGGAGTGTAAAGAATTATAGATGTGTGATAGAAATATCTTCAAATGTGTTTGGCAAGCAGTGAATACGCCTAGCCTGTTCTAGACAAAGGAATGTTGTTTCACCTACTTGACTGTCTCTCCAATGTAAATTGAGCAAGGTGAGGACAGAAACAATGGTACTGTATTTACATATAAGGTAAACAGAGCCACCAAACTAGCAAGACGGGGAGATGACCACACAATGGAAAAAATCACAATGGGGGATGGAGGCTGTACCCCAAAGACGACTTCCTGGCCCTTGAAAGAGAGACAATGGACTTTGGGAAATAAAAGCAGAAATAGAAAGTCATTTTGGCATCCATCATCTGAGGGCAAAGCTCTTGAAAATCGAGAAAGATGGATCCTTCAACCAAGTGGACTGAAGTCTCTGGGAACAGATTATAGGTTAGAAACCTGCTTAGACAAAGAGTGTAACTTGAAGTTAGTTTTAGTCACTAGGAAGTGTGGTTTGTTTTGTGTGTAATCTTTCATGTCTCTTTCTCTCTTACCTGAAATCACTCAAACCTGTGTTCTTTGTTAATAAACTTACTCTTGTTTTATTACAAAACTATCTCAGTGCTGTGTATGGAAGTGAAGTGTGAGTCTTCAGCTAACCTAACCAGCTGATGGGGGCTCTGTCGCTTTGCATACAGCAAACTTAACTTCTGGGACTGTCCAGTGAGAGGGACTGGACACTGCAAGGAGACGTCTCTTGTGAACTGGTCTTCGCTATTATCTGCAAGGCAAGGCTTAGACTGGCAGAGTCCTGAAAATTTTGCTGGCAAAGCGGACAAGCTGGCATGTCCAGGAGCTGGCACACAGCTCGGCAACAGCAAAGCTCACTCTTGCTGAGACAGAACAAGTAACACTCTGGCTCACAGTTCTGGGTGACTTGAGCAAGAAGTCACAGCATGTGAATGGAACAATTGGAATGTAAGCCTAAATAGGGCAAAAGAAGATTTTGTTTGTTTGATGTATGCTCTGCATGTCCTAGCATTCAAAGGGACTAGACAATTTTATTCTGATTGAGGACTGAGGGGTATTGTACAAGAAATAAAAGTACCCCCCGCCCCCTTTAAAAAAAACAACACATCTTTCCAAGGACAATTCTTTTTTTTTTTTTTAAACTCCCTTTGGCTCTAATATTTGTTCAAAAAACAAAAGAACAATGTTACAAAGCTTTAAGCCAAAAGTTTAGAATGTTGTTTATACCTCTCACACATTCTACAAGGCATTCATTGTTGAGCATATAAAATACTCTGTTATCTTAAAAGCTTAGTCCTACTTCATGGTGTACGTTGGACGTATGACATTACCAAGGCAGATGGCAAAGCAGAAGTATAGACTGAAGAGAGCTAAAATGTGCACAGAGTTATGTTTGTGTCACTTGTTCTCATGGCCATGCACTTACATATATCAATGTAATTTGGTAAAAGCAGGGTCTGTATATAACTTACTGGCATTTTGCAGTGAGGTCTGGGAGAAATTGGGAAAACTGTCTATTCAAAATGTAGAGGAAAATGAATTCAGTAAATGATGATGACAATACAGTAACTAAATATTCAGATTTAATAGAAGATGAGAGGCAAAGGACCTGTCCTCAATACAAAAATCTACTCATCCTGAATGGATTTCCTGGGTCATATGTTAAGAACACTCTTGGGTGGTGCAGTTCTGCCAGTAGGTGCTGGCCCGTGTGGATGGGGCAAACCCCTTAAATAGAGTGCTTTCAACATCTGTATTTAGGAGGTTCTCCCCTTTTTCACAAGCTAGAAATCTGCCTGCAAACCTGTGTGATCTGAAGCAATTTAAAAGTTTCACCTTACATCTGATTTCAAGAGCTGTGCATTACTGCAATGGCAGCAGGGTCCCACAGACCAACAAATAATCCCTCTAGGTACTTACTCCTTTGATGTGAATTATAGCCCCTGGAGGTCCAGGAGGCCCCGGGGGCCCAGGCAAGCCAGGGGGACCCTGGGAAGGCAAAACAAGGGGGAAAAGACATTAGTTAGAACCTTTCAGACTGCAGTGCCAGCTGACAGAAAAAAGGCATGAGCTAATTTGAACATGGAGCCATGTGCTAACTGGCCTGAAGGGAGGTTGAGCATTTTCTTGCATGTACAAATTTTTACGTGTAAAAAGAAAATGTGGATTCTAAGATTTGAGCCACAATATTTCATAGACAGGAGAATTGCCCGAGGCTTTTGCTTTCAGAACAAAACACAGAATTATATAAAAAGAGCTCCATTTGTTCCCCAGAAAACTCTTTTTGGATTATCCAAACTGCTGAGACATATATAATTACACTGTTCAAATGCCATTCAGACAATTGGACATTTAAATGCAGAACATCTGTAACATAAATCCTAGCCCTAAGGAGAGAGATTCTGAACCATTCAGTCATGTAGCCTTTTATGTTATTTAAAGTGAATTTTGTAATGTGGTATTATGCTACCATGGGTTTGGCTCTGGCAGCTACAGTTTTACACTTAGAGTGAAAGTTACCTTTGCTACTTGCTTTAGAGTTAGAGTTTTTAGGAACACAAAGACCAAGGGTAGTGACCACACACACATTTATCAGTACAAAGTTTAGTTTATAAGTAAGTTATGATTACCCAAGAATATAGAAATTCTATACAGACCTATGCACAAGTTACAAATATAGTTATACTTACATTTTTAACAATAGTGTTAGGGTTTGATGGGTCTCTCAGGCTTGATCATTAGTAGCGGGATGGTTCCTGCTGGAGTCTCCCATAGGGAGTCAATTTTCCCATTTTGGGCATCCCCTTTTTATAATGTGATTCTGTTTATACCTACATTCTGTGCGTGTTCATAAGTGTCAACCCTCTTTTCTTTTATTGGTCTGTGTTCCCTGGAAACTTAAGAGACCCCAATTTTCTATAGGCTGTGTAAGTTCCCTTTGTTTTTATTAGCATTGACGCACAATCTGTGTCTAATGGTTTAAGACACATGTCAGAGACAGATGCGCCTTTACAGTATTTTTATGATCCAATATTAATCTTTTGGGTAATTTTGCACAACATTACCACTTGGCACCCCTTTTTCCATAATTTTAGGGCATTGGGTTATTTTTTGGTCATTGGCTTGAGTTATTACTTGTTTCCAAGGTCTAAAATAGATAAGCTAAAGTCTTGCAGGCCTCAACCTACAGGTTTTAGTTTGTCTTACTTATGTCTAATACTTGGTTCCTTTAAATACTGATCTATTTTAGACTTTTATAATCCTACAAATTCATTCTAATTAACATAAAATGAATATATGTAATATCACATATTAATCAATCATAACATGACACAATAAATGAATAATAAACTAAAATCATTGACTACAATCAGCACACTACACACTCAGGAACTGCACAGTGGGAACAATGGGTTACTGCACTGACATCAATGGATTTATTCTGGACTTACACCACTATAACCGAATGTGGAATCTAGCCCAACCTATAACATTGAATGCTATATCCATGTGGAGGCCCTGTGTCCACACACTGGGTCTGGTCCCTGACGGATAGCTGTCTGCTGCTATAGCTGACTTCTCTTTCCATCCAAATGAACAACACTTTGATTATGTTGGCTAACACATGAGAAATCAAATTTAGAACAGTTGCACCTAGTAATGAGATCCTCTCATCTGACAGAAATGGAACAAATTAATAGAATTTAAAGCCAGAAGGGACTATTAGGTCATGTAGTCTGATGTCCTATATATCACTGGCTATAGAATTTCACCCAGTAACCCCTGTATTGAGCCCATTAACTTATGTTTAGCTAAAGGATGTTTTCCAGAAAGGCATCCAGTCTTGACAAAGATTTCAAGAGATGGAGAATCCACCACTTCCCTTTGGTAGTTAATCACTCTCACTGTAAGAGATTTGTGCCTAATTTCTAATTTGAATTTGTCTGGCTTCAGCCTCCAGCAACTGGTTCTTGTTTTGTCTTTCTTTGCTTGATGAAAAAGCTCTTTGGTATCTGGTATTTTCTCCCCAGGACAGTACACTAATCAAGTCACTTCTCTGTCTTCTTTTTGACAAGCTAAGACATTAACATCATCTATACTCATATCTACTGTGAAGGATTCACACTTGTGCTTTCAACGTGGTGTGGAACATTTTTTAAACAAGCCACTCCAAAAGGGCACTTCATAAATACAGTACAACTCATTTACAGTACAGTCAATTGAAAAATAAAAGATTCCACCAGCAGTGTATGAACCAGGATACTATTTCTGATGTGAACGTAATCATATAAGGTCTTTTATACAATATTGGTACTGATTTCTCTAGTAAAGCAACAGAGTAGCAGCTGGTGTACACAAAGCTCAGAGTGGGCAGGGTGGAATACCTGCACCTTGTCTTCCCTAATAGCATAGTACTGAAGCAGCTGCACTGTTGTTGGTCCTAAAGTAATACACGTACCAATATTAATTTTTCTGGCAAAGACACATCCTAAGATGGTACAAGAACTCTGATATCAATTACTATGCCAGATGTTCTATGGAAATGGAAAATGCTATTCTGGAACTTTTCCTTAAGCTGAGTAGCACTTGCTGATGGACTACTTGCATGAGTGCTACCCAGTGTCAATCAGGGTTGCAGAATCAGGACTTTTATTTACCAAGCTCAAAAGCATTTTTGAATTCAACAACCTGTGACAAAGCTCTCTCCTTGCCTCCGTGAGTCCCGCGTTTCCTGGAGGATTTTGCTAGCCTCAAAGGCTCACTGTGACCCTCCACGTAACCCTTCTCTCTCTAGAGACAAGGGTCACAGTCTACTGAGCCATTTTCATCATAATCCAGCGAGGGAGGTGAGGAGAAGTTATCCTTCCTTGCACAGTCTCTGTTGTCTCCCAGTCTCAGTGATTAATCAGGGGGCAAAGGTTGTGGGGGGGAGCCCAGGCCCACCCTCTACTCTGGGCTCCAGCCCGGGGACCCTAATAGTATCAGCTATGGTAGCTGACTTTTTAGAAACATGACATGTACAATTCCCTGGGCTACTTCCCCCACAGCAGCCCTCACTTCCTCAAGCTCCACTTCACCCTTACCTCAGGGCCTCCTTCCTTGTGCCTGATGCGCTGTTGGAGAGGCTGAGTAGTACACAGCATAACTTCCTCCCACAACTCCTGACATGCCCACCCACCTGACTGACTGGGAGGCTTTTAACTAGTTTCAGCCAGCCCCTGATTGGCTTCAGGTGTCCCAATAAACCTAGCCTTCTCCCTGCCTTCTGGAAAGGGCTTAATTGGCCCCAGGTGTCTTAATTGACCTGGAGCAGCTGCCATTTCACTTATCCTGGTACCAGGGATTTGTTTAGCCTGGAGCTAATATATCTATCTCCCACTACTTTTCTATAGCCATCTGGCCTTGCCCCGTCACAAACCATAGAATATTTAGCATGCAAGTCCTATAGGGCCCAATCCTGCACACATTTATCTGTGTAGTGTCCCCCCTGACAACTCGTGGCAGCAAGTACTACCAGGTAGGAAGTGTTTGAAAGATGAAGCCCAAGATGGGCCTAACTGAGCCACACTTACTTACTATGAGTAGCACTTACGTGAGTATCTCACTGAAGTCAATAGAACTATTCACACAAGTACGTACTACTCAACTGGAGTTAGGATTACAGAAATTAGGGCTGAATTATTGTTTATCAGGAGAAACAGAATGATCATGTTAACATTTCTAGGTATTGCAAGCTGGTTTTATTCCTAGAATAGATTCATATATATTAGCCTCAATACAGGATTATATTCTTGTTTACAAGAAATTTCAGTACCACTGCAGAACTTACATATAATGTTACACCCCGTTCACCTTTTACACCTTTCAGTCCATTCAATCCTGGGCGGCCCTGAAATGAAGAGAAATGTTTTAGTGTCCGTACAGAAGTAAACTGCTATTTTTATTACATCTGAAAGACCCTAACACGTACAGGTCGTCCAGGTATACCAAGTTCTCCCTTAGGTCCAGAAGGTCCTACTGGTCCCTGGAGAGAAAATAGAAAGAGTGATTAGCTGAGAAAAGGAGCAAAATTTAAAACTTTCTATATGGAACATGATAGTGACTCATGTTCTGGTTATTTTGAACGAACATCAATGTGTTTTTAAAAAAGGTTCCCTGTCTGCAGACTAATTCCCTTCAACAACTATTCTGAGAGTACAGATGTGAGGCAGATAGTCCTGCATATAAAAATGGAACCCCAAGATTGTGATCTTTGGAGGAAAAGATTCTTTGCTCTCACTGTCAAAGTCTAAATTTCACCCAGATTTTGTGTGTCCAAAGCTGAGCTGCCAAGTATAAAGGGGAACTTATAAGCATCTGTCTATAGAACAGGAACTGTCTCTCTCTGCATGCCTGAATGAAAGTGTGATTGGTGTGATTTCTATGGAAACTTTCTGCTAGTCTTGCATTTTTAAAATTATTTTTGAGTGGGGACTTTTTAGGATGATTGAGAAAATGTCTAGACTGACCTCAAATGTCTCCAAAAAACCCATAGACCTCTTGACTGGATATATTTTTCAATCTGTGGACTTTCCAAGTGCAAAACTCCTGGAATGAGGAGAATCTTTATTTACATAAAGGTGACCTAATTGGACCCCAGTGACCATGGCTGCTGCTGATTGCTGAACACTGGCCAGGTGATATCATAATGCCTGACAAAGAAACCCATGCTTCTTCCACACTCCCAGCTGTAGAAGTTGCATATTGCTGGACTCTTAAGTGTCAACTTCCACAAGTAAAAACCTCTAGCCAGCAACAAGTCCATCCACATAAAACAGCAGAATTGAGAAGACCACAGGCTAACTTTTTTCAACCAGGCTAAATGAAACCGCAAGAGTAACCAACACCATTCTGTATATGTAGTAACTTTTGGATTTTCTTTTCTTTTCCAATTTGTATTAGCAAAGGGACACCTCTGCCTTAACATTCTTGCAACGTTTTTAACTCCAGCAGGTGGCTGGTAGTGAGTGTGTGTTTGAGTGCAAAACAGTGTGTGTGGATAGAACCCACAGAATCTGAGAATGGTGCTGAGATGGATCCCTGTCCCCGGGGTGCCACCTGGAACTGACGTACAGCTGAGACCTCTGTCTCACCAGTCTGGGTTCCCTCTTGCACTGTGACAAGCTGCAAAGCCCTCCAAGCTTGCACTCACACCAACATCCACAGGCTGGGGCCATACCCAGCTGTGTTCATAAATGCTCTGGCCAGCCACTCATGAACCCACAATAAAGAAGCTACAACCAAAGTACTCCCAGCTCCCCATCCTAGACCCCAGAGCTATACTGTCCTGCCCTGGTCAAAACTCAACCAGTATGAATTTATTATCCAGTCTGCCACTTCTACAAAGGAAAGTGGAGAGCATCAACTCTTGTTCATGAGCTGAGGTTTATCCAGTTTGCACTTCAAACAACACACAGTGTTTTAGGTACAATATAAAATAGATTTATTAACTGCAGAAAGATAGCTCTTAAATGACAGCAAACAGATCTAAGTAGATTACCATAAGAAATAAAACAAAACCATAATCTAAGCCTAATGTACTAGTTAGTATTTGAATCAAGCAGTGTCTCACCCAGTTAGATAGTACAAGCAGGTTAGCTTTTACATACACAGGCAGACTTCTTTCTTTCCTGCCTGGGACCAACACTTCCCACCCAGTTCAGTCTTTTTCCTCTGGTACTTTCAGGTGTTGCTGTTGTAGGGAAAGTAAGGTCCAGTCATGATGTCATTTCCCCCTTTTATATCTTCTTCCCACTTGCTGGAAAGCTCTTTTGCTGTTGCCTGGGTCAAAAAGTTCCCATTGTGTAGTTCTATCTCTGAAAGGTTTCTATTGTACACAGTTCCTGGGGTAATCCTTATGGTTGTGTATATTTCCTTGTAGCAGATAGAGCACTCACCGCTGCAGCACCTCCTGCTGGTCAGTCTGGGAATTAGCTCTTTCCAGCCTCAGAGCGCCTCCTACTGGCCAGTGTCTCACTTGCCTCAGGCCCCGTGTCCCTCCCGGACTCCGGTGCCCTTTACCTTGGAGCAGTGCCCCCACATGCTGGGTCTCCCTTCCCAAGGGAATCCTCTCCCCCATGCCCACCTTGCCTCAGTGGCTACTGCCAGTCATCATCTAGCCCCCTTTCTCTGGGGCAGACTGCAGTATGCAATGGCCATTCATCACTGACAAGAGGGTTGGACCAGCTGCCTCTGCCTATCCCTGGGCTGCACCTCTTCAATCCCAGTACCTCCTTAGGCCTTTACCAAGGCCTCAGCCTGGGGAATTGCCAGGCTGGAGCTCCCCAGCTCCTTTAGCCCTCCCCCAGCACTGCTCTGTTTCAGGTACCCTTTTCTCCCAGGCAGCTAGATCCATCTCTTTCCAAAGCTAGAGAGAGACTGCCTGCCTTCTGGCCCGGCAGTCTTTTATAGGCCCAGCCTGGCCCTGATTGGCTGCCTCCCAGCCTTTTCTTATTGGCTCTGAGCCCCAGCTCTCTCCAAGGGCTGGCTTTTAACCCTTTCAGGGCTGGAGCCATTAACATTGTTTGGCCTTTTTATCGTTGTACCTGAAAGGCTGCTTATGGGTGTTCTCAACCTCACAACATGGTTCAGTAGCACATACGTAGCCAGACTTCATAACTTCACATACAATGATAGCACATACAATCCAGCAAGATATTAATGTCTAGCAGATCAAGACTTTCAGAATGATACCTCACAAGGCATACTTGTACAAAATATATCATTATTATATGACAGTGGTGAATATAGGGTGCCACAGGTATCTCTAGAGTAGTTCCTCCAATACCCAACAGCCCTACATTAACAATGGTGCTGTCTAAAGATCACACAGGCCTATATATCATGCATTAGGGGTTGTTGCCAAAAATAAAAAATACAATCACCCATTCATCCAGACCACCTTAGTAGTTTTAGACAATTTTTCTAAATTCCTGTTGCCGAGGCCCTCTTCCTTAGCTAATTTAAATGATAATTAGAAATTTGTCCCTGAAAATATCAATTTGTTGTGGGCAAGAGCCAGGATTACTCAATATTGACAGGTTTCAGAGTAGCAGCCGTGTTATTCTGTATCCGCAAAAAGAAAAGGAGGACTTGTGGCACCTTAGAGACAAACAAATTTATTTGACCATAAGCTTTTGTGAGTTACAGCTCATCTCATCGGATGCATGAAGCTCACGAAAGCTTATGCTCTAATAAATTTGTTAGTCTCTAAGGTGCCACAAGTACTCCTTTTCTTTCTGTCAATATTGACAGTTGCTCCTGGGTCCTGATTTTAAATCATACCAAGAGGTATGTAATAATATAAAGATCCCACATTTTCAGTATTTACAAGTAAAACATTTTATTGTGGAATCTGGATATGTGGCAGCCCTTTCTAGACCTTTAGCCACATTGGATGAGGAACAAGCTAGAACAAAAGGTTTAATTTCTAAGATACATACAAATTTGACTGAGAAAGATGTTAGAAAACAATCCAGATGAAAAGATGGGAGACAGACTTGGACAAAGAAATTGATTTGGCTAAGAGTGTCTCCATATAGGAAAAGGGATATACATCCTCAATTTGGGTGGCCCATAAGGAATTTTTTATAAACTACTGTATAGATGACAGTTAAGCACCATCATATTTTTTGTTATGAGAGAGGTATTCCTATGGTGGGGTTGTAGGAAAAGGGGAAAGATTCTTGCACATGTGGTGATTGCACTCAGGAATTAGATGGTTTTGGGTGGAAATTATTAAAGAGATTCATTGTATGACAAAATGCTGGCTGGTTTCCCAGAGATCCCTGACCTACTTGCTTAATGCTCCAGTAAAGGATCTGCATTTTAAAGAGAACAACAAATTAATTTCTTTGTATTGTTAGCTGCTAGACTTTGTATTGGAAAAATGTGACTCTTCCTCTTATGGAATTGTGGTACAGTCCTTGCAATGGAAAAACTTTCATATCCAGTACGTACACAAGAGATGCACCAAAAAGAGGATAGGTACTTATAAATTTGGTCACCCTTTTTAGCAAATTCAGAGGAGGGCTCCCCAGCCAGTAAGCCAGGTACTGTGAAAAATAACCTGATCCTGAATAAGAAATATATGACATACCATGTTAATGTTTTATTGTAACTTTGCCTTAATACAAGTTTCAAAAGGAGTTATATGTTTAATCTTGAAAAAACTTGTTATTTTCACCTTCATTTAAAATACAAATGACAAATTTAACAAGTGGTGTCATCTCGAATGTTTCTTATAACCTTATATTGGGGGATAAGGAGACAAGCTATTTCCTAACCACCAGTAATTTGGGCAGGCTGCCTTAATTGGCATCAGAGCTGTAGTCCCAAAATTAGCTTCAGTCAGCAAGTGATTTGACACCCCACATCCTGTAACTCATACTTTGTTGGAACATAAATATATAAAATGGCACTGAAATTGACAATGTTCTGTTGCTCTGGGGACTGATAGCTAAAAAGACTACTGTCTTCTTAAGTTACATAGAGTGTGTAAGGAATTGTTGGTTTATTTGAGGTGGTTTAACCAATCTCATAATTTGATGATTCTAGAAACCCACTTTATTCTAATTTGATTTGTTTATTTGTATTTTATTTTATGGTTTTGTTTAGTTGTTCAGGCAATAAAACATTTAAAATTAGAAACCTGTGTGGTTTGGATGGTTTTTCCTCAGACATCAGGGTTCAGAACCACCTAGTGGTGGTTTGTAGAACTGCTCTATACTCCTCCGTATCTGGTGCTCAGGTAGGAACATTGTTGTGTTTTGAGGGAAAGTTGACTTCTGTATATTGATCCCTTCTTTCAGTGAGCAATGTAGACTCCAGAATCATTGGGAGTCTGGGGTGATGCATAGCCACTGGTCAACCACTTTTCCACCCAATAATGTCTATACTGCTTGCACAGAACAGACAGATTCAGACTTGAAGGCTTTCAGCAGCTTTTCTGCATACTGTATGATTTAAGAGTGTCTCCCTTTATTG